ACGTTAGTATAGAAAATAATGTTCCTTCAACGAGAAACTGTGGAACATCGAATTAAAGGATCCATTTGACCAGGCCAGGTCTCTTTTGTCATATTGTAAAAAATGGTGTAAACGGGAGAAATCTTACAAAAAGTCTAAATGTTATGGATATTCGCATATCACATTTCATAAATAATATATAAATTCATAAAAGGATACGTAATACGCCAATTTCAAGGTTAAAAAAACCTTCAAGTACTGGCAAAGCGTTTTTTGTTCGTATCAGCTGACAAAGCAGTAAACAATGTAGTAGTGGTATGACGCAAATACCATACACGGTAGTTCTTAATGTCACTACCACATCTTAGCCTCTTTTGAACATTTGAAGACCCATACAATACGTGTAATAAAGCATATGAAAATAGTAGAATTAATTGTTTTTGGGAGTGTAAAAATCTTTTTGGGTGATATAGATACATAACGTGCTTTTGATGCTTTTTTAACTAATTTTTATAGTTTATTTTGTGCTGTTAAACCACTGCCCCCAGATTGGGTTGGGGATTGAACGCTCAAATACATGTAGAGGTTAGTGGTGGTCGCTGGTTGCTACCTGTCGTATTTGTTTTTCGTTTATTGTTTCAAGTTAGAATCAATGATCCAGTTGGTTTTCTCTTTTGAATTGTTAAATATTTTGTCATGACAGGGTCTTTAATAACTAAATTTCTGTGTATGCTTGTCTCAATGCAGGAACCTGTAATATAGTGGTTGTAGTTGGTTGCTGTATGTCCTATTTGTATTCCATTAATTGTTTTCGCATAACTAGATCAAATCTATATTGAAGTTGGATGGGTCCAATGTGGCGTTTTCGTTTAATATTTTTAAAAGCCGAAAACGCGAAATCGCTTAATCGAGAAATGAAATTGGTTTCACGTTTTCGCATTTTCGCGAGTTTGCTCTCGCGTTTTCGCGTTTGTCAATCACTGCCCTCTTCTGTCAATCATCTCGTATTTTTTTATCTGATTGGATCGTGATTAACAATTTGAAGTTAACCAGACTGGATAGTATTAAGTTCAAGTACTTTTAACTGTTTAGTTTAAACATATTTTATTTTAACTGTTACAACGAGTACTTACATATGTAAACTAATTGTTAATTATACCGGGTAGCACTTGTTCGTTTTATTTATAACAAGAGGGCTAAACGAAATTCCAACGCAAAATGAGTTATATGATAGATATTTACTAAAACTAATTTCATTTTCGATTTAAAATATCTTTAATATATTTTTCAGAGATAATGGATGATAATGAATAGTTTAAATTCTTTACTATTTTGATATATTTTTACTGTGGTTTTTTTTTCCTTATTAAACCATTGGGTATAAAGAATCTATAAAGACTTGTAATGCAGAAATCATTTACATTTTTAGGTCAAGTTACAGTAAATGGGCTATGTCACAGATTTTTTTAAAATTTTGCGTACAACTTTGGCTCTTTGAACTACAACTATAAATTGAAAAAATAATTAATTTATCTCTTTTATCATACGAAATATTATTGATTGAATTCTTTCACATAAAATCGGCGGAAAACGTTCTCAAATTTGTCTTAAAATCATTAACTCTCCGATTTCAAATCCATAGATTTTTCTTAAAAAACTTTATGTTGTTGATACAGTAACTTGCGTTTTAATGATGTAAAATAATAATAGGGTCACCGACTTTGTTTTAACGGTACATCATTCAAAATGGTGTTCTATGTGAAAAAATACCACAATACGTCGAAATAATCGTAACGTCATCTCGTTGTATGGTCGATTTTTTACGCTTTTCACACCAACTAGGTAACTAATTGGTTAATAGACCAAAAAAGAAGTCGGTGACCAAATGATTATTTTATTTCAATAAAACGGAAATTTAAATATCAATAACATATCATTTTTTTAAGAAAAGATCTATGGATTTAAGATTGGAGATTTTATGATTATTTAAGACAAACTTAAGAACGTTTTCCGCCGAATGTTATGTGCTTTCTGTACAAATTTTCGCCAATTTTGAAAATCTCAATCTGAAATATTTCAAAAAATTAAAAGAGATAAATGCATTATTTTCTGGATTTTACGTTATAGTTCGATTAGTCAAAGTTGTATGCCAAATTTTACCAAAATCTGTAACATAGCAAATTTACAGATCTTTTACCTTAACGATAATTTTATCAAGTTGAATTAAAACAGTCAGGTTATCTTCAAATTGTTTATCATTGTCCAATACCCCCCAAGGGTAAATGGGGAATAGAAGTATGGTCACCATTGGTCTTCCTCCGACCGGCAGTAAAACCCTCGCCAAAGTGGGACGTCCGTTTGGCTGTGCGGGATGTACAAATTTGCAGCCACGTCCGGTCAGAATGGGGACGTTAAATCCGATGCCTCGTTTAAAGAGGGTGCCACGCTCTTTGCACGTTAAGAACCCTTCTAACAACTCTTTGAGGGGTCCGTAGGTGACCTGTTGTAAGGCTAAATTTCTGTCCCATCCAATATACTCTCATTTCCCGTGGCAGTCTAAATTTCTCCGACCTAAATCCCTTAATCTATTACAGAACCTACGTTTTGTATTTATTGTTAACTTGTTCTCGTCCTGAATATGCATGAAATATTTGCCACTGGACGTTAAGCAACCAACAATCAATCAATCATTATCCAATCAAATACAAGATGAGTTGACAGAAGAGGGCAGTGATTGACACACGCGAAATCGCAAGATGCGAAGTGCGAAAACTCGTATGCAAAAACGCGAATACGAATACACGAAATGAAATTGATTTCACTTTTTCACGTTTTCTCGTTTTCGATTTCGCGAATTCGCGTTTGAGCTTTTTGCGTATCTGTGTTTTTGCACACGCGATTTCGCGTTTTCGCTTTCACGAAATTTGTCGCATCCCACTTCCATAAATCTAACTAAATTAAATCTCTGCACTTGCTTACTTTATGATGTTTGGTCGCTTATTAAATTAGAACATATCTCCTTATTTTTATACTTCACTTTTTCTCAGTCTGTATTTTTATCGACATTGTTTTGCAGTCCATCCAATTTGTTCAGTTGCCAAAGTTATATATTATTTCTGCCAGACTATCTAACAAATAATTTGATGTGCCTTGTGTATGTCTAAATATATGTATAGAATAGAGAATGGAAATATTTGTTCTATTTTCTAATTAAAATATGACAGTAATTGCCTGTTACGATCAGTAATTTGTCAACATTATCCCGCATCTGTGTTCCTCAATATACATATTTAGTGTGTTCGACATCTCGTTTGATATGAATAAAAGAGATAATAGAAAGAAGTATACGTTTAAACTGGCAATCAGGTGTGTTTGTGATATTTCTCCATGTAGAAGGCTTTTTTTTCTTTGTCTTGGGTTGTGTCAAATGCGTATAGGGATTTTACGTCATAAATGAACACATCTTATCCAAAACGGCAGAGACATATATAATGATCTCGGCATCATGAATAAAGGCAACAGTAGTATACCGCTGTTCAAAAGTCATAAATAGTTTGAGAGAAAACAAATCCGGGTTACAAACTAAAACCGAGGGAAACACATCAACTATATAAGAGGAAAACAAACGGGAGCAACAGAAACACTGAAGTGCAACAAAAACATACATAGAAACGAACTATTTGATAACAACTGCCGGCATATTCCTGACTTGGTACAGGACATTATAAGAAAAAATGGTGGGTTGAACCTGGTTTTATGGCTAGCCAAACCTCCCGCTTATATGGCAATGTTAAAAAATATCGCTAAAATGACAACACTACGTGACAGAAATACAGCACAAACACACGCAAGAACACTCATCACAGAGAAACGCACAAATAAATAATATAATAGTCGATACAACATGCAAACCGCAGAATAACAACGAACATCTTCCATTAACGACAGACATCACAGGACATCACAAACAGTGACGTATTTTTGTAACGAATATATAATTTTGAAATTCAATTATTTTCACAATACTAGTCCAAACAATTGTCATGGTAATGACGGTATTGAAAGGCTATTTTATAATTATTTGGACTACAAACGATAAGACATAACACATTATTCAACCGAAAACAAAACAGAAACATCATAAATAAATACATGAATGTTGGATTATTAAAATACCGAGACACGTCGTATAGCAATGCAAATTCACACTCGGCAAAACAGTCATATTCGGGAATAGGTCACGTTCGGTACTTAGCAGACAGACGACATAGATTTTAAACCACAATCTAAGACGTGGTAAAAATGTCATTAGTAAGTTAAGACACAGACATATCGTATAGATCAACCAATTCGTGATGGTGTCCATAAAATTTACGAAGCCGGATGGTAAATTCGGATTATGGAACTGTTATCAATAAAACGAGCATTGCCATATGAATCATATGAATTCACGTAAGTAAAGAACCTTTCGTTGTTACATATACACGCTCACAATAAGCGGATATATCATAACAATATGATAAGGAAGTGTGTTTGATTATTATCAATAAAAATGTCACAGTTTAAATTACTAAAAAAAATCTGAAAATAGGCTAAATGATATATGCATGTACCCCATTTACTATATTTTCTCTTAAAAACTTTGTTTCAAACAACCCGTAAAATAATTCCACATATCAATACATTAAGTTCATTAAAATAGAAGCACTACTACAGTACTGAAGAGGCTCGGTAATTTTTTATTGAAAAATAGGAAGACTTTTTCCAGTTTTTTTTTATCAAATTAAATCTAACACCTGTATTGGTCCTAGCTAACGTTCAAAAATTTATTTACAGAGTAATATTGGAGCTCGTGATAACCGAAATAAAACAAGTTGGTATTTTCCGTGAAAAAAAGAAGAGTAGGAAAAATACGTTTACTCCCCCTTTTATCGCGGCGAAGAACCAGTCGACGGGGAAGAAAAGTGCCATAATCTCAGCAAGGAACCCGACCAACATTACCGGAAGTCTGCTCAATAAAATCCAAAACAATATGGCGGGACACCAGCAAATGTAAAATGCCGACAATTCAACATGTGAAGTTATTTAATAGAGAAAACTACTTTATATGCTTCCAATATTGAAGCCATTTGCGAAATAACTGTCACCATGTGCGACCTTTGTAGTGATATGGTATTTTTACTTGACAATTGTAAGTGTTTTTCTTTGTCCGTATTATACCCATGCGAACAGTCTCTCCACAGACCAAACCATAATATTTCCATGATATCTATGTACATACAAAGTAAAATAAATGAGTATCATTGACATGCACAAATAGTGTAGAAGATGCTATGTCATACAGAAGCGGTGACAAAAATATTGCAGTATCCGAAAGTCGATTAATATAATAATATCTGATCTTGGCACAAAAGCTAAGAAACCCAACCACTTCGACAACATTAGTGTCAAAGTAGAGGATAAAGAATTTTAAAAATCTATTCATTGCCAAATCTTTTGAATATTTCAGCAACAAAACGATGCTGTCCTGTAAAATTCAACTTGTTTAAAGCTTTGTTATAATTACTTGGGGTGCTGTTGTCAAAAAGTTGAATTATTGTCTTTGAAGATAAGCCATATCATAAGGTACAATCATACACTTGTACTTCAAGGCTTGCTTAGTGTGATTGGTTTTGGTGTTTGAATTATGATGGTATATGAATGGAAAATCAAGTAAACTAGGAAAAAACTATTCTAAATAATTTTCATTGTAATTGAAATTTTATGTCACACCAAAAAAAGTATGCCTGGAATTCTAGTCACTTCGGCACCCGTTATAGTCAAATCGAGACCTGGTTATTTCGGCAACCACAATTAACATTATGTTTTGCAAGTAAGTTATTGAAGACTCCATTTTTCATGATTTTTTAAATATTTTCACTCGAGGTGTCAATGATTAAATTAGTTTTTATCCTCATCTGTGGATTAAACAACATCTTGTGTAATGGGTTCTTTTTTACTTTTTTTTTTTTAATAATAAAAGATTAAAAACTACCTGAAAATTGTAAACATAACAAACAGGTTATTGTTTATAATTGATATAAGTTTTTAAAACATTATTAATAGAATATCATGAATTTTGAGAAAACTGATTTGACTTGTACCCAAATGCTGTAAAAAGCTCAACCTACTTTTTTGTTTTAAAAATAGAACGTTTCAATTTGAACAGCCTTATATCCATATTTTTTATATTTCATCTTTGATTGGAAGATAATAAAAAAGTAAACAGGATAAATGTCAATATGAAAATGAAATCAACTTTTTTGATATATACATGATATGTATCTCCTTGAAACTGATCCAAACTGAGGCTGGCAATATTTTTCGGATACAAACGGATTTATGAAACAAATAGCAGTTTTTTGAGGACAGAGACTGTTCACAAATAGATCTTACAAAAGACACATACATTTTTGTAAGTCCTGAACAATTCAGTATAACTGAGGAACAATTTTTGATGTAATATTTTTATGCCTTTGCCATCAGCAGAAGGGGGAATTAAGTGTTACCCTTGTCCGTCCGTCCATCTTGAAATTGGTTTTCCGTTCTCTAACTTTAGTTTGCCGCAACCAAACACAATGCTTATTACCACAAAACATAGATCAAGTTCAAATTTGGATGGCGTCACTTTTACCGTTCTCGAGTTATGCCCCTTTATAACATTATATGCAAGCAGGGGGCATCATCTGTATCACATGAACACATTTTCCATTTATTTTGTGAAAAGAGAATCAAATTGATTAACCAATACAGCTGTTTTTTGTCACATGTAAAGCGAGACATGGGGATTGCTTTTCCAGCGACGGCTGCGATGACGGCGTCAACAATTATTAAGTTTTCTGCTTAAGTTAGTTTGATAGGAACTGCTTGTGATAGATCATTGATATTTTGTATAAAGTTGCATTACTATCAGTACATAATCAGTTTGACGACAATTTTGAGGCCCTGCCCCCAAGGCCATGGTCAAGTGACTTTGAATTAATTAACCATTTTCAATGTTAACTAAGTATTCTGCTTAAGTTAGTTTGATAGGAACTACTTGTGATAGATCAATGATATTTTGTATGACGTTGCAATTACTATCAGTACATACATGTATCAGTTTGACGACAAATTTGAGGCCCTGCCCCCTAGGCCATGATGGAGTGACTTTGAATTAATAAGCAATTTTAAATGTTAAGTTTTCTGCTTGAGTTAGATTGATAGGAACTACTTGTGATAGATCATTGATATTTTATGTGAAGTTGCATTGCTATCAGTACATATCAGTTTGACGACTATTTTGAGGCCCTGCCCCCTAGGCCATGATCGAGTGACTTTGAATTAATTAGCCATTTTCAATTATAAGTTTTCTGCTTAAGTTAGTTTGATATGAACTACTTGTGATAGATCAATGATATATTCTATAAAGTTGTATTATTATCAGTACATATCAGTTCGACAACTATTTCAAGGCCCTGCCCCCTAGGTCATGGTCCAGTGACTTTCAATCAATTAACAATTTTCAATGTCAAGTTTTCTTATTAAGTTAGTTTGATAGGAACTACTTACAATAGACAATATTTTCTATAAAGTTACATTGCTGTCTGTACATCTCAGTTTGTCAACCATTTCGAAGGCCCTACCCACTTGTTGGTCCAGTGACTTTGAATTGATAAGCAATGTTGCTTCTATCAGATTGTCTTTTTCGGAATTTTATGCCAACAGGCGAGACATATCTCTGTGTCAACAGTTTATTTTTAAATACTTGTATATTATCTCAGCACAATTAGTTTGAACAGATTTTGCACAAGTACTCTCAAATCTGATAAATTACTTTGTCAACATAATGTTGAATGGACTAACTTACAGGATGAGCCAAATTACTGGCCAGCATTGTCTGTAATACATGTACTACATTGTCAATTATATTGTTATTTTTTTGTGAATTAATTATAAAAATACGAAAATGTTATGATTGACGATGAGACAACTCTCCACCAGAGACCAAATGATGTAGGAATTAGCAACTACAGGTCACTGTATGGCCTTCAACAACGAGCAAAACCTATTGTATTGTTGTAGTACTATGCACTTATACTTAATATTGAAACGCATTATTATATATATTATTGTGTATGAGTGGATGTACAGTACATGTATATTGCTAGTATTTCCATAACTTCAACAAGTACTTTATAACTTATTCATAATCAAGTATAACTGAAGGGAGTAATTAATGTTAATAAACTGATTATCTGTATGTTGGTACAATTTACTTCTTTGTGTTTTTCATTTGAAATAAATGTTGAAAATAAACACTGATAGAATGGAAGACTGAAGGGATTTAATCACTTTCTAGGTTTTTGTCAGCGACGACTGCATAAACGATTCATGCTATTTGTATAAAGATTTATATTTCAGAGTAGAATGTTACAAAGTTTCTGTCTGTCATATAACCCTTACCCTTGTCCTTATTTTACAAAGTTTCTATCTGTCATATGTCCATTGACCTTGTTCTCATTTTCATTGTTCAGTGACTGCTTGAAAAAGAATTACATTTTTTTTTGTCAAGTGAAATACTCACATATTATGAGTAATAGAATAACTACTGTATATTTGGTAAATATGTTCCTTGCATCATTTACATGTCCGTCAGGTAGGGTTTACCAGACCTCAACCTCAGTTCATGGATCAGTGATCAAGGTTAAAGTTACATGGTCAAGTTCGTATCTCAGATAATGTAAATATTAGGTCAACTTTAATGGGTGTATGGAATGATTGTGAGGTGTACATGTCCATCTGGCAAGTTTTGTCTGACCTTGACCTTATTTTCATGGTTCATTAGACACTGTTTAGTTTTTGGGGTTTTGTATATTGCTTAGATATTATAAGCTATGGGTCAATTATATTTGGTGTATGGAATGATTGTAAGGTGTACATGTCTGTCTGGCAGAGTTCACCAGACCACAACCTCATTTCGTGAATCAATGATCAAGGTTAAAGTTACATGGTCAAGTTCGTATCTCAGATACTTTAAACATTAGGTCAACTATATTTGGTGTATGGAATGATTGTAAGGTGTACATATTCATCTGGCAGGTTTTTTCTGACCTTGACTTCATTTTAATGGTTCATTAGACACCTTTTAGTTATTGTGGTTTTGTCTATTTCTCAGATATTATAAGCAATAGGTTAATTATATTTGGTGTATAGAATGATTGTAAGGTTTACATGTCTGTCTGGCAGGGTTCATATGACCTTGACCTAATTTTCATGGTTTATTGGTTAATGATACCTTTTCATAATTTTGATAGTTTATGAGATACTATAAGCAATAGGCCAACTATATTTGGTGTATGGAATGATTATACAGTGTGCATGTCTGTTTGGTAGGGTTCATATGACCTTGACCTCAATTTAATGGTTCACTGGTCAATGCTAAGATCTTGTGGTCTATTCTGTTTCTCATTTACTATAAGTGATAGGATCACTATCATAAAATTAATTGAGAATGGAAATGGGGAATGTGTCAAAGAGACAACAACCCGATGAAAGAGCATAAAACAGCCCAAGGCCACCAATGGGTCTTCAACACAGCGAGAAAATCCCCTGGGTCAATTTTTTTCCCACCACCTCTTTACCCAAAATGATGTTTTTTTTCAACAACCCACTTTAATATATTTATTAATTTGGACTTGTTTTCCTTCTTTCTAACAATAAAATTCAAGTTGCTGCAGCGTTGTCTCATTTATCATAATTCTACATATCTTTTTTATATCTTACATTGTAATAAATGAACACTCAATCAGAACAAAAATTTCTTGAACTTCATTAGAATTTAATACTGTAAAATTTGACTTCAGGAAACACTGGATTCATCTTCAATCAGTTTATTGGATACTTCCAGCCTAGTTAAAGGACAAATAATAAAATCAGAGATATGTGTTACTTTTGAACATCTTCTTTAAAATAGTTTTCTTTTCCAAACCATCGTCAAAGTAAAATTTGAGATGTAAAACCATGCTTTAAAAAGGTGCGCTGCTAAAACGATTGTGAAGTACCCACTTCAAAACAATTATTGTTATCAAAGTTGTGAAAACAATCATTTAGGCAGGGTTTCAGCTAGGATTTTGAGACCTTTAGTCACTTTTGCGGAAGACAAAAAATGAC